TTTGCAGAATCCGTCTGCAAACCTTTGTGCACGAATTCCATCTGCAAACTTTTGTGTGTGGAATCCATCTGCAAACTTTTGTACACAGAATCCGTCTGCAAACTTTTGTGCGCGGAATCTGTTTGCGAACCTTTGTACATGGAATCTGTCTGCAAACCTTTCTGCGTGCTAAACGAGGGACATTGAACTCTTCATCACGATGCAAACCTTTGTGCCTCGACTTCGACCTACACCACCATTGCAGTCGTACCATTCTTGCTTATGAATAGATGATACATCATCTGTCTTGTCGCAATACAGTGATGAGGAATACCGGATGAGTATTTTGTGATTTATCCCGAGAACTTGATACCGGTCGTTGTTGGAAATGTGCAGGTTCAAGAGGATGGCGATGAAGACAAAAGTTTGCAAATTTATAAACAGATTACACACACAAAAGTTTGCAAACAGATTCCATGAACAAAATTTTGCAGACAGATAGTGCTCATAGCTGACAGGTTGCAGCTAACTCCCTGGAAAGCAAAATGGGTATACACTCCACGTCACAGTCCAGCAATGCTGCCACTAGTGGAAGCAGGAGCAGACACAAAAGTTTGCAGAGCATGGGGGCTTCTGTCAAGATCGGATACAAGAGGATAATAAGGTCGGAGGACCAAAGTCTGAAAGGTATAGACAGATGGTATGAAGAGGTGAAAAGAATAACTCAAAGATAGAGGTTGCATAAGTCAGAGAAGTGTCGGAGACACGTCAGCATCAAGCCGGTAAGTCAGCAAAGTCGGTGAGGTCAAGTACAGATGCGGACCAAGCCAAAGCTGGTGCACTAGGCTACTACACACTCTGATTCCACATAGAGAGAGGATGCAAAGCTTAGTTGATATTTGAACTGAAGTTCTACCGTATAGTTCGAGCAGTCTCAGTACATAAGACAGAACAATGGTGAAGTCGGAAATGCAGAGTTTGGCAGCACCATTTGGTGCACAAAGGAAACGTACGGAGACTAAATATATCGTGTGGAATACAAAGGGAACATATCTAGAGAAGAGACGGAAACCGCGGACTGAAAGATCAATTGCAAGCGAAAGGAAACTGAAGACTACAAATGAAAACTGTGATGTCAGACAAAAGGAACAAGAATGATGAAAGTCAGACTGGAATCCGTTCAAGGATCTGGAACCACCAGGGTG